GCCAAATATTACAATAACAGACAAAATCAAGCACAGATGTAAGACAAGAATGCCTGTGTACATCTTTGGGATACTTTCCACAATATTTAAATGAAAAAAATAATCACAGTCCCCAATGGCTCAGTCGGGAAAGCCAGTGTAAAGCTGAGCTTTAAGGAGCCAAAAAGGTCCCAGCATCTAGACATTTGCTTCCATCTATGCAAAGAAACACTTCCTGTGTAGGTGGCACTTATAGAACTCTCAGTCTGCTTTGGATACCCTTAAAAATGGTGATGCGTTCCTGTCTGACCAAAACAAAATTTCACACAGCACTCCATTATATAGCCTCACCAGTAATCAAACCAGTTCTAATAACTTTTGGGGTGGACTATAGTCAAATGTCTTTAAGATACTCCTGGTATTAGATGAGCTTTATCGACAATAATTTCACATTGACTTTCAATAAATCACACTTGACCCTTTTGTCTCCATCTACACACGTCATGTTTCCCATCCCAACAGCGTCTACTATTTATATCTTGCACGCTCATCTGTAGTTGGTATCATCATTATATTATATTTCATATTACAGGAAGTAATCTCTCCAAGTTCATTCATGAATGGCGGAAAGAGTAAGAGAACCAGAACAGATTTCCCGCAGAGTCCTTGACACCCCTGCTACCTCTCCTCCTATCCAGCCAGAGCTGGGTTTTTTTCGTTTCTCATCACCTTCTGCTACTTGGCAAAGTGTTTGGAGAGGGAGACGAGGCAGGGAGCCTGGTGTTATTTTTGTCACAATTGCATTGCGCACAAGTGACACAATGGTGCATTTTACGTCCTTGTGTCGAATTTTTTGTCAGGAATCAATTAAAGGTTCTTCATAAGGACAGAGGACCACCCCCCAACACTCCCATCCCCACCTTTTGAATTTGAATAGCTTCGCGTAGCCATGAACATTTCTAAGAAGAACTTGCACTCTTTTTTGCAAGCTTTGAAATTCTGCCTCCTCCCCAACCCTCACCGCCACCTCGATCCCTGTCTAAGTGAAAGTAATGCAGCGGTAATGTTCTGCTTACGTTGGCACATGGAGTCGTTGAGTTAACATTTGCTTCAGGTGCTGCTGAGATAAGCGGGACAGTCTGATGCTCTACACCACAGTCACAGCAGGGCCTTTTACATCACAAGCAAAGTTCTGTTCAAGTGCAAATCATTTTGTACTCCAGCCCCTTCTGAGCGATCAGGAGCCGCACAACAAAAGCTTCAGACAGTTATGTTAGCTGGCGGCTTGTCGTGGAAAGTGGGAAGACTGTTTTGATGCATATTCTTGTACCAGCAGCAGCCCAGACTGTCCTTGAGAGAGGTAGCAAGATACGATAGGTCGAATGGCTTTTTGGGCGCTGTCCATTTCTACGGTCAGAGTGAGATCCCTAGACATTTACAGCACAGAAGGAGGCCATTCGGCCTGTTAAGCCTGTGCTGCCTTTCTGGAACAGCTATCTCTTTCATCAGATTCTCCTGGCTTTTCCCCATACCCTTTTTATACTTCTCTGATATTTATCTTAATTCCCCCTTAATGGCTAATATGGATTCATGCCTCAGCCAGGGTTGCTGGCTATCTGTGTGTCGCTCTTACCAGCACTTTTATTGTACTTTCAATAATGGGATGGGATGAAGGAAACTGTGAAAGTTGGTTTGAAAAAGGATTTATAAAATGCGAAATTTTGTGAGAAAAGACAAAGCGCACGCCATTAAACTAATTCCGAGGATTGAGAAAGGATGAACTAGATTTGAATGCATGTATATTTTGGCAGCGCTGTAACAGATCAGTTCACGTATAAACAACAGCTGAATCTGAAGTAGTTGTAGATTAAATAAATGAAATTTGTTCTCTGAGGTATATACATGGTCACTGAGACCACTTCTCATTTTTGAGTGGAGCAGAAATGCTTCCATAAGAAAAATGATCTCTGCTATTTACACTTCAAAGGTGCAATTCAATCATTACAGAGCTTCCTGTGTTGCAAATCTGGCACATCCCCAGCTGAATCTGTGAAAATGCTGTACAGGGCGAGTGAGAGGGACACATGGAGTTTAGACAGGCCGTTCCCATGCTCTCTGTGACTAGCCTTCATTTGATGTGCAGATCACTGATGTGTTGTTAATACCCCCATCTCATAACACTGGAGACGTGAGCCTTATAGATTTTTCTTTTTAGAGAGAAAAAAAATCAACTATATCAACAGTGAGCAGTCATTCCCAAATGTTTTTTAAAATAAACAAAATATCCTCCTTGGTAATTAATGAGGAGGCGCCCATCTTAATCTTTTGAAGGTCAGTTTGGAAGATGGAATGCCTTGTTGAATGTATAAAACCTGGAACTGAACCGTAAAGGCCACAGAACAGTGGTCTGGCTTCTCTTGTGCTCCCAGATCACTGGCATCTATGGCCTGTCAGAATCTCCCAACACATTTTTCTATCGCTTCTGTTGATCCAACCTTTTCTCCCCCATTAATAAATTAAGGGCATTTAAGGGAAAACTGGATTTGATTTGTGTTATTACTCCTCGAGTGACTGATTTGGCTGAGAAGTCGTTACAGTTCACTGACTTGGACGAAATGGGAATTTTGGTTTGAAACATATTTATCACCAACCAATGCCTCATTGAATTCAACTCCAAATGGAGACAGAGTGGTGATCATTATCACACTGTACATTGCATTGTTCCAATTTCTAAATATTTGCCCTGTTCATGTATTTGCAGTTTTTTTCCTTGGGTGATAATATATAATAATCCTTCCATTTGATATAGCGCTTTTCACGTCCTCTCGACATCTCAAGCGTTTCACAGAATAGACTGTAAAGTGAATTGACTGTATATTTGTGGGTCTGAAGGAATCTGTAGGGATGGGGAACAGTGGGAGACATGAGGATTTGGTTGTGATGGAGGCAAGGCCCTGGCATGAAATGGTTACTGAATATCTATCAGCGTAAGACAACAATATAACAAACAGTTGTTACTGACTCATCCCTGGAATTGTAATCATCTCCATCATTGTTAATTCTATTTCCAAACAATCAGCCTCAGTAATTCCTTTATGACTGAGTATTGTGATGGTGCCTTCAGCACTCACTGCTTAAATAAATAATATCCAATACTCTCGACTCTTCACTCAGGAGGTTGTGGCTTCAAACTCCACTTCAGGACCTTGAACCCATAGTCCATCTGACAATCCAACACAGAGCTGACGGAGTCCTGTATTGTTAGAAGTACGGTGTTGTTAGATGAGGTGTTAAGTTGAGGTCCCATCTGCTTGACTTGGTGGACGTTAACGATCCCATGGCACTCGGTGAAAAGGGAAGGGGGATTGCGCCGTGACCAACAATCCCCCAAATAAAATTGGCCATTCACTTCATGTCTGTTTATGAGAAATTGTGGGGGATAATTGGCTGCCACGTTTGCTTACAAATACACAGTCACCACACCACACTTTACAGTAAATCCTGTGAAAAGCTTTGAGACATTTTGATGATGTGGTAAGTTATATTCAAATGGAAGGATTATTATTGTTATAAATTCCCAGAAAGTGACTGAGCGTAAAAGGGTATAATCATTAATTAGAATGAATCAGAGGGATCACGTGGTGAGAATGCTGCTTTAACGTTTAAAGGCCAAACATTTGAACGGGTTACTCGTTTGGAAACCATATTATCTTCACTTGATTCTCATAATGATTCAAATAGGTCCATTAGCACTCGACTTTGAACATTGTAAAACGTGTTGTTTGCGAGCCAAATCTAAAACCGCAAAATACTTATCCGATAGATACAAGTCTTGATAAGTACAATATGTTGACAGCACACACACACTAATGAATTGCAAACAATGGACTAGGTACAACGATATTTAATTCAAACTAGGTTAAATATGCCTGGACTTTGTTTTGCAAATTGTTTATAGACTTTCCTTCAGATGTTTTATTAAACCTTCCAGTTGTCACTGCTTCCCCATTATATTTGGGGGAACCTTAAAACCCAGATTGACTATCTGTGTCTTGGAATGATTTGGCAGGTCCAGGTTAAAGCTGCTGATTGCCCTTCTTAGTAGTATTTAGGCAAAGGACAATAGTTAGGTTGAAATATGGTGTAAAATGTTGTGATAGGAAGGTGCCAGCGATGAAAGATAGTTTATTAAAACAATGATAGAGGAAAGTTATATATCATTGGAATACTTGATTTATTTGCTTGATAAGCACTTGCAGTTGATGCCCAGTGAGTATTTTAACTGTTATTCCCATTTATTGGCTGAAAGTGAATTAAGAGGAACATTGTTGGATGCTTTCAGTTTCAATCGGCTGATAAAGGTACAAGTAGATGGGCAAAAGCTGGACGTGTATCAGTGCACTGCAAAGCTCCACTGCTTCCATTTAATGTTTCTGTGAGGGATTAAAAATTGTTTGTTTACTTGTCCACCTTCACCTCTCTCCTTCATGTTTCCTATCCTGTTGGGATTTTTTTTAAAAAATTGTATGTAGAACGCACAGCTTTGGGTGGATGTTAAAGATCCCACGGCACTATTCGAAAGAGAGAAGGGAGTTTTTCTTGGTGTCCTGGCCAACAGGTAAAATTGATCATTCACTTAATGGTTGTTCGTGAAACATTGCTCCGTGAAAATTGGCTGTCATGTTCTTTCTGGTCACTGTGACTTAAGGGGCTTCTTGGGCCCTAGAGACAGGGAAAGGAGAGGAGAGCAATGAGGATGATCCCCATTGTTAGAGGAATGAGCTGTGAGCAACAATTAGACAAGCTGGGGATGCTTCAGAGGGGACCAAGCAGAAGGGATCTCAGTTTAACATCTCATCCGAAGGATAGGATATTGGATAAAAGAGAGGAAATATGACCAGAAATGACATTTTTGTAGCCCCGTTCATGTAGAGAGGACATCCCAAAGCACTGGATAGTCAAGTGTGTGCATCTGAGCTGACAAAAACAATAGTAAGAATTTACAACTCGAGACTATGATGCCAAATGTATTTTGTTTCTTTAATGAAAAAAAGTATAGAAAATATCTTTATATCTTCATAGTACATAAATGTATATACATGATTTAAAAACTGCAATACATTTAACAAGAACAACCTGCAGTGGTTTGATTGGTGTACAGGAATCCCATGATTTATACATTATTGCCTTTTTGTGACATCAACCACAGGTGATTTAAAATAGACAAGCTGTTAAGTATCTGACAGCAGGAATGGTAAGAGTTTAATCAAATTAATGTACATGTTTCATACAAAATGGGTTAAAAAAGATAGCATGGAAGAAAATAATAAAGTTTGAGTGTGTATTATTGTCACAGTAAAACCAAAATCTTTTCTGCATATTCGGAACTGAAACTCACAATCATATTTCTGATTCCTTTTGGTATCTTTATTTCACATCTTACATTCTTTCAGTTTATAGCCAGCGGATCCTCTCATTCCAGATTCCAGAGCGTAATTGTTTCTACAATGTGTTTTCTTTTTTACTGTACTTGCTGCCTTGTTTTACTGGCAAATTGTTAAATAGATCATAGTTGCCATTTATTGGCCTGGACTGTTAAAAAAAATTGCATGTGAAGGGTTACAAATATTTATATTCACATCAGTAAATAATGGCTACAGTATTCCAAATGATAATTTTGGTACAAGAGCTCACTTCCTTGTCTAGAACAAGTCATACTATATTAATGGGACATTTTTTTTCAAAACAGAGAAAAAGCTCATCAGTGAATCCATGCAACAATAAAACCTAACATGCATCACTGCACTGGTGGGAAGCAGTAACTGGGCTTGTCAAGCATAATCACCAAACTGTGGCGAATTCCCTGCCAATGTAGAGGTAGCTATAAAGAAGTGGTAGATTTAAGGGCGCAAGGTTCTTAATAGACAAACGTATTAGGCGAGGGAGCAGAATGGGAGATCCAAAGCCACATTTCGTCATAGCAATGGGATGATGTGTTTCATTGCAATTACCTTCTCCTGTCAGTCCCAGTTGGAGTCTAACCCCCAGTGGGGTATATATTTGTGATAAAAATATTTTTAGTCGGGCAGGGGAGGGGGAACAGCATGCATCCGATCTCCTGAATCATTTCACAGGTGATGCTCTCGGAGTAGAGAGAGGTGAGGAACATCCACAAAGATAGTGTCACTGCAGTCACCCTCTCACCTCTGCTCAGGGATGGCCACAGGCTTAGTTTTGAAGACCAACCTTTGGGACCAGTTCACGAATCGTCAATAATCATTGCATCGGCTGCAACAAGATAGTAAAAGGGATTCTTTGATGCCATTGATCTTTAAACAGAGTCATTCCATAGGTTGCAAATTAAACAAAAAAAAACATGAACGCTTGCAGGGAACAATGGAATAAGTGTGCACGAGAAATCTGTTGATGCTACTGTATTTTTCCAAATACACAGTATTTGTGGCACATATACAATTTCTAGTATATTTTTACATTCTACAAGATAAAGCTTTGACCATATACTGCACCATAACTGTCCGACAGGTTTGTCCTGCTGAGAATAAGTGAATTCATTGCATCCGTGAGTAAATTATTGGTCTGCCAGCACGTTTAGGAATTCTTCTGTTGAATTTTTACTGTCACAGTTTTGATTTCAGTGTATTCCCTCAATCCATATTCTCCCCTGGAAACAACACATACACACACACACACACATTACTCTATTGACTAATATAGCATGCACAGTTAAGAGATTTGTCAACAATTCCCTGGGAAGCCCTTCAAAACATTTTGACATTATAGGCAATGTATCAAATGCAAGGATTATTAGAGCACTTTTCTGTGACTTTGGGATAGATCTGAGCATTAACTGTAAATTCCTCTATAAAAAACTACAGTCACTGTACTTTACAATAAATCCTGAGAAGCACTTCCTCCTGACATGAAAGCTTGGCGCTATATCAAATGTAAGAATTATTATTATAAATTCTGTGTGATTTACATCTTTGCAAGAGACATACTACCATTTGCATCAAGGTATGAGTCTATTGAAATACGACTGCTTGATTCAATTTAGAAGTTAGAAATTCTGAAGGCTGCATCAATAAATCTACTTACATTTCTCTCCCATTGCCAGACATTTTAAACCCTCCAAAAGGGCTCTGGACATTTAGGGCGTTATAACAATTAATCCTGCAATAAAGGAAAAACGGTCTTTAAATCTGCATGTTATTTACGGGAGAACTTTCTCCGCAGCATATTAAAGCGCCTTTGATTGTTGTAACTATTGTCATTACTCTGACAGTCGGCAACGTTTCAAATGGAAAGAGGGTGAACAATTCCAAAGGTCGAACTCATTGTAAGCAGGCGAGTCCTAACAGACACCGATCCAGCCCTGGCGTCCTCTCATCCTTCAGCAATCTTCCAATACGCAATGACAAGTTATTCTGCTGAAATGATTAAACATCACAATTGTGCAAAGACTCTGGGGAGCTCGATATGTGGAGTAATTCCTGCTGTTCGTTGTCACTGCCAGAGCTGCGCCCAGGATCACAAATTACAAGTCAATTTGAAACAGACACTACTCAAAGAGAAGTTCTTGTTTTTATCCATTGGACACTGCTGTGCGGAATTGGCTGCCACATTTCGCCTACAAGTATACAGTAAATTCACTTTACAGTATCTTCTGTGAAGTGCATTGAAACATCTTGAAAACGTGATAAGGCGCTATATGAAATGCAAGGATTATTATTTTTAATAATATTATTATTATCATTACCAGACTGTGCCAGCCTGCATAGCAGCAGAAACTGCTAAAGCTTTGTCAATGTCTTTGGTGAAGACTGCAGCTACCAGGCCAAACTGAGAATTGTTTGCCCTCTCTACCACCTCCTCCATGGTTTTAAACTTAATTATTGGTTGAACTGGTCCAAAAATCTGAAATAAACAGTAAAAAGAAAACCGTTCAGAACAAAACAGTGAAATCAACATTTTTCCAACGGTAGATTATAGTTGCTTGTTAACTTGGTTGGTTATTCCAGTAATCTCAATGCCTGTACCTCCTCCTTTGCTATCCTCATGTCGTCCGTGACATTGGAAAATACTGTAGGTTCGATGAAGAATCCTTTCTTCCCCAGTGCTTTGCCACCACATTCCAGCTTTGCTCCCTCAGCGATGCCACTTTGTACGAGTTCAAGGATTTTATCACATTGCCCTTTGTCAATCTGAAGACAGAATAAAAGCCATTACACCAGGGGATACAACAATCATCGAGTGCTGACCATCTTATCGTTGTTGCAAAATAACCAGCCTGTTACGTAATGCAAGAATATCCTATAATACCTATTGTAATACAGTAACATTTCCATGATTATTTGTCTAGAAGTTTTTAATATCCTGCTAACGTTAACAGCACATAAAGGGAACTGGATGAATACTTGAACAAAAATAATATTGAGGGCAATGGGAAAGAGAAGGGGATGATTATTGGAGTTGAGAGTAGGGGTGAGCGATGAAGCACAAACATGATGGACTCCCACTCAGCTATACGTATTCATGATCCTTCAGCAATTAAATGCTCCTGTTTGTGGGCTTCACTAAACACTGACAGTAATTACTGTCCAAAAAAAAAAGCTTAGAGTCATTTTGACGTGACAAGACACTATAAAAATACAAGTTTTTTTTTAAATTTAATCGCACGCTTGACTGCAACCGTTATGAATGCCGGATGCGATTGCTGTTACAGCTTTAACATTGTTCTTGTGTTGCCTTTTGCATGAGACGTGAAACAAAGCATTCTTTATAATAGAAGTAAGAGTGAACGCTGATATAACCGTTCTGCTGTTTGTTTTGCCTCAGTGAGCCTTACTTGTGGGCCCTGCTCAGTGGCAGGATCAAAGGGGTTTCCCACTGTTCTCCTCTGCGCGCGCTCTGTACTCTTCCTGACAAATTCTTCGTAGATTGGCTCCTCCACGTAGATCCGAGATCCTGCTGTGCAACATTGGCCTTGGTTGAAGAACACTCCCTGATGAGCCTGTTCCACGGCATAGTCCACTGCGAGAGCAAGATCACTACAGGTTACCTTTACTGTATCGGTAAACATCAGTGGACAATTCATGTGCCCACAAAATACACAGTCAATCCACTTTACAATATATTCTTTGAGATGACTCAATGACGTGATAAGGCGTTCTATCGAATGCAAGGATTATTATTTCATCAAAATTACTTTAAAATTAATTATTATTACGTCCAAACAAAATTAGTCATTGACTTCATGGCTGTTTGTGGGATATTGCTATATGAAAATTGGCTGCCGTGTTTGCCTAAAAATATAGTCACTTCACAGTAAATCCTGTGAAGCGCTTTGGGACATCCTCCCAATGTAAAAGGCGCTACACCAAATGCAAGGATATTATTACGATTACTGTCTCCCTCCCTATTCCAAGTACACCTACTGCTGGAACTGCACATTTCTATTGTAAATAGAGAAAAGATGTTGAAGCTCAGCGCAGTTCTTACAGCAGTAACATCTGTGATCTTGATAAATTTATAGTTTGGTGCGAAAAGGATTATTTTTCCCAAAGAAAGTCAGGATCAGGGCTCTTGATACAACTCAAATTGAAATACTGGGCTTCAGGAAATAACACAATTACTCTGTAATTAAATCCCTGGAACATATTTTTTTTTGCATTTATTTCCTTCTCCCACTCGTTTTCCTGGCCTCTTGTCATCGTACATCCTTCTCCAGCTGGGAAGGCGGATCAATGTGAACCGCAGTCTGTTCAGGACTGGCATTCTTCCCACTCTGTGGTCAGTCAGGCAGTAGGGGAAGGAGTCAAGTGGGCTGAGGGAGCCAATAGCACTTATTCCAAACCCCCCCCCCCGCGATGGACTGCATCATGGACATATGTTGCTGTGCATACTACAGACAAACCTCACGCAAAAAAAGCAACATAGCCCAAATGACAGCAAATGACAGCAAACAATCGTGTCTGTGTATATGTTGGGTTAGGCTGTCTACGTCACCATGTCAGTGAATGTGGGTGTGCATATGTGTGTTAGCATAATAATAACAATAATAATAATAACAATAATGAGTTTCACCTCGGTAGGGCACCTCAAAAGCTTCACGGGATTTATTGTAAAGGGTAGGGACTGTGTATTTGGTAGTTAAGTATGTGTTTAGTCAGGTAGATGTTTACGTGCACGAGTCAGTCATGGTGTGTGGTCATGGCAAGACTTTGTGTCCATGTTGCCCTACCCGATGTTTAATATTTGTAAGTTAAACTTACGATCAGCATCTGCGAAAATAATGTTGGGGCTCTTTCCTCCCAGCTCCAGTGTTACTCTCTTCAGATTGCTCTTCCCAGCTGCTTCCTGGATTAGTTTTCCAACCTAATATCAAACACAGAATATAAACCTTAATATACAGAAAAACCCAAACAGTCTGAGACTCAAATCCAAATAAGGCAAAGCGATAAATCAGATCAATGGAAAGCTGGCTTTTACATAAGATTGAGAAACATTTGACTGGTTAATGCTAAAGCAGGGTCAACAGAGTCAACTTAACCCTGTTCTGGGCACATTTCAAGAGCAGCTGCTGACATGTGACAAGCCGCGAGTCACATCTTATTGCCGTGTTAGGAATTGTGAAAGGTCTCATGGCCTATCCACACTGCAGCAGAACATCCACGCTATCTATTCAGTAGGTTACCCAAACTTCTTATTGCTCTTCCTATTAAATATAAATTGGTTGGTGAGACAAAGCACAATAAAGGGGAATAGGAAATCCTGGTGGGTGAGTTGTGATCTCTACAGTAAAATATGCATCTGTTAACTCTGAAATTTGGTTGGGTATGAATTAGGTCTACTTTGAAGGTTCCTGTGCCTCCAGTTAGCTACTGTTACAAAAGTAATGTCATATTTCAAACATAACGCTTCTGATCGGTTCACACTTGGGAGCAGGTTTCTCCGCCAGCTGAGCTAAAGCTAATGTTGGGAGTGTCCGAGCGATAGCCAAGAGTGTGCCAAGTGGCGGAGTCTGAATGACCATAGACTCTGGAGGAAAGCTTTTAGTTCAGGGTTACATCTGACTTTGTGTAACTGGTCTGGATGCGTCACTGAATCACTGCGGAGTCTGAATGCTTTATAAACAGCCATAGCTCTGGTAATCTGTACTCAAGAAATTGAAGCAAATCCAACAGCAACACATGAGAAACTCTGGAGATCTGTCCTCTACAAAGCTGCTCAGGCTCTCGAAGTTTGTAAGCTAGAAGAAAAGCTCTCTAAAGGCCTCTGCTTCATCACGTATACCGCATTTCTTAACCTGCAGCGTTTTACACCTCATTTCTTGGGAAATTCAAAAGAAAATTCCATCAATATTTTCCTCTCCATTTTACCAAAAAATCCACGAAAATGAATACTAGTCCTTAAATAATGTATATGAGTCTGTAATCACTAAATAGAGGCTGAGCTATATTGACCAATTAAGTTTAAATGCCCAGAAGCGAACACCACAGCCAATTTGCGGCCAGCAATGTATCACAAACAGCCGTGAATCGAGTGATCAATTTTATCTGAGAGAAACTCCCTTCACTTATCGAATAGCGCCAAGTGAACTTTAACGTCCACCTGAACCAGCAGATGGGACCTTGGTTTAACATCTCATCTGAAAGACGTCACCTTTGACAATGCAGCATCTCTCTAGCTCTGCATCGGCCCAGACTGTGAGCTCAAAAATTCTTCATGTAAGACTTGACCCCAAAACCACAGAGACGAGACAGTGACCAACAGAGTCAGGCTGACACCTGGAAACGTAAGGATTACAATTACAGTATTCTCAGAAGTTACGTCAGAGTTCAACAAATTATTGTTTATTTCCTGTTGTTTTATGCCTTTTAAAAATAAAGAAAACAATCCTAAATTCTGAAATTGCAACATTCTACAGTCAGTGCTCTCACAGATTACTCTAATGAGAGCTTTGGTCAAAAGGAGACCTCAAACTTCCCTTGTTCTTCACTGTTTTTTTCCCCTCTTTAAATGTCATGGGAAATTACTGCTGAGTTCATAAACAGTGGCTTCGGGGAAATTCATGTGGGCTGCTCCAGCTTTTCATCGTCACTTTTATATGAGATAAGCAAAGAGAAATGTGGCTGTTTCTTCACGGCTGTCTTGTGGGTGCTGTGCAAAAACCTGGCTGCCACATTCACACACAAAAATACAGCATTTCTATCCTGTGTAGCACTTTCAGTAGTTGTCCTGACGTGAAAGGCACTCTACCAAATGCAAGGATTATTATTATTAGACAAAAATCCATGCAATTGGCAATGTCTGAGACAATCTCAATCTAGGCTGATGCTCCACTGCTGGGGGGAGCACTACATTGTTGGTGGTGCTGTCCTTTGATTGAAACATTAAAATGAGGTCTTGTCTGTCCATTCAGATGGACATTAAAGAACCCAGCTGGCGAAAATGGACCTTGATGGGAGTCCAACTAAGCTGCCTATTGGTGTACAGCCACTTGCAAAATCAACCAAGCATGACATATAACAAGGCAATGCAATACTCAGTGTGGCTATGGCACTATAAATCCCTGCAATGTGAACACTTGCGAAACGAAGAACGCAATGTTCTCACTGGTTGTTAAATATGCTGAAACGAACAGATCTGAGAGGATTTGTCATTAAGACAGTTGATTTGCAGAGATCTAAATCTCCTCAACATCATTCCCCGCATTCCCCCCCCCCACCCCATCTCCCCACAAAACAGCAGGTTTCTGACTTCAGAAATATTTAAGTCCCACTGCCATTGTTTAACTCACACATCACACATCGGAGATTGAATGCAGCATTTGCACTATATCTGTTAACTTATACCATGTGTTTTAAAAAAAGATTTTTTTAAAAAAAAGGAATTTTAAAAGTCGTGAGAGTTGGCTTAACATGACGTAACAACACAAGGAGGATTTTCAACAATATCGTATACTGATGCCTTTTTTCAGGGTTTCTGCAGGAACAGGTGTGATGAAAGCTGTGGCTGTTTCCATCCCACTCCTTGACGTCCCTGTCCCGAACCATTCATTATCCTTAACCCGTTGAATTTAACCAGCTCAAGTTATCCACAGCGGATCAATCCAGCTCTCAGGTGCAAAGACAGTCTCCCAAAACAATATCACCTGCCTGAACCATATTTGGACAAAAATCAACATTTTCGCCCACAAAATGCACAGTTACTCCGCGTCCTGTGAAGCACTTTGAGGCATCCTCTCAACGTGTATCAAATGTAGGGATCAGGATTATGATTACAAAAGAAACAGTCACTACACTTGACAATAATTAATAGTAAAGGCACTTTGAGATGTTTGGATGTGGTAGGTGCTATAAAAACTTCTTTGTTTTGTCCCTCTCGATACTCACGTACCTGTAAAATTTCCTTTTAAATGTCCTGATTTGAATGGGTCTAACTTATGCCTAAATAAGAGCTGGTGAAAGAGTTCCCCTACGCAGGTGTTTATATCAGTAGAAACAGTTTTTCCTTCTCCTGCACAGCCCCATTCACTCAAGCATTAAAGAGTAATTTTCTCACTTCTTTCACGTCATATAGTTTCAAATGGAACCTGATTAACTAAATAGTGTTTAGATATGCAAAAAGCTCACTAGATTTACATTACATCAACCAATGTCTACAGACTCGCATGTGTCATTTCTTCTATGTCAACAAAGTCCATTTGAAATAACATTTTTAAAAACCTGTGCATTTTTGGCATGAAACCCCCCCCCACTATTTACTGCAATGTAATGTAAGCAACCGTGCTGGCAAGGAATGTCAAAACACTAAGGTAAACACAGTCGTCTTTCATTTAAACATTGTTTGGTCTGAATACTAGTAAAGTGAATGGAAATAAATCTTCAAGCCCGGCTTCAAACCATGCAGATGGTGCCTTGCAGCTGGCAGGGCTAAAGAGTGCAGAGCAGTAACCAGTAATGGTAGTGAGCGGTAATGTAATGCTTAACACAGGAGACGGCACATCACACTGCTTCCCATCAGTGTAAATCACTCTGAGCAAGTGAGGAATCACATTTCTCAACCAGAATGCACAGGTAGATTACTCCCACTTTGTGGCTGTGATTTGATCTCCTCTTTTTTCTTTTGAGTATTTGCCCACGTTGCCTCCATTCAGTTCTTCTCACAAGTGGGCTGTTTCCCCCCCCCCCCCCCTCCCACAGAACGTTGCTGAACCATCAAAAACATTTCTTTCACAAAAGTTCCTTGAAATGCAAACTTCAAAAGAGTCAATTGAAAAAATGTGGGATACAAAACTTTGAATCAGATGCGACTTGTTTTGCCATGTATATTGTTGCACAGTGGTTTAATGCTTTTAACATTATTGCTCACTTATCAGCAGATTTGGAAGCTATTTGTCACCAAACATGATGATAATAATAATAATCCTTGCATTTGACATAGTGTCTTATCACGTCATCGAGATGTCTCAAAGGACTTCACAGGATACCCTCTGAAGTGGATTGATTGTACATTTTGTGGGTGAAACATTAATTTTATGAGAAAATTGACTTACAGGCTAAACCTTGGTGCAGTTTCAGGCCTCATCTATCAGGAGACCATCAGAAAGAAGGAAGAGGCAAGTGAAATACTGACTGAGACAGAGTCTGCAGAATCGGACTCATGAAGGAGCAGATAGCTCCATTAAACGGGCAGCTCGGTTATTAGGCTAGGTCTAACGGTGCATGTCGTATTGGAAAATTGATGTGCTGTTTTGTAACATACGTATCAAAGCAAAGCATTAACCTCTATTCGGCACAGCTGCTTTTAGACACTCAGGAAATCAAAACCCTCCCGAAAAATGACCGTTTTGCAATGGCTACGAGTCATACCACCCATCTGGTTTCTGTTTTTGCTGCGTGAGAAAAAGCTTGGGACTTCCAGTGATTTTTTCTTCTCGTTTCTGGAGACGAGGGCCTTTTAAAACGCACAGGTAATGAAAAACAAAAATTCATGTGAACCATTCCGTGTAACTCTTTATGAAAGTGTCGCTTTTTCTGGAGTCACGGGAGAAATCTTCTCGGATCAAGAGGCCACCTCGTGTAGGGCTGATCTCAGCTTTGAAACGGTTTGAATCTAGCTTTTTAAAACAGCCCGACAGTAAAAACAGGGAAAAATCTGTCTGGCTCATTGCTTGTGGAATGACCAGGTCAGTTGATTGCGCGTTTTACAATGCAACCTGCAGCTTTGTCGACACGCTGCGTGTGCTAGAGGCAATAAATCAGTTACCGCAGCACTCATTTCACTGCATAATGTGTGGCATGTCCAGACAGACCTTCTGACCCGAAGGCTTACCCAGTGTCCCATCCCCTCAGCCACCCAGATTGGGCTGGATTAAGTTTTATGACGATCTTTATTAGATTCTTCCAGCCTCCTCATTCTTTCTTATAGGGAGTTAAAGACTGGCCACCTTTTCTTCAGATGTGTAACCGTTTCAGCTTTGATAGCGCCCGGATTCAATTTGAAAGACACATTTCAAAGGCTATAACGTGAATTTTAATTTCTGTCCCAGAGCAATGCGAAGTTTGAGGTCCATCACAAACCTTGCCGATCCTTTTGCCTTTTCAGCTCCTAAATTGTTTCAGTGTCTCATAACTCATAATAATAATAATCCTTGCATTTGATATACGCCTTATCACATCTTCGAGACATCCCGAAGCACTACAGAGAATATACTGTAAAGTGAATTGACTCCATTTTTGTGAGCGAAAGGCAGAGGCCAACAGTCGGAGATTGAAGGGACCAATTCATTATTTTTTTTTGAAGGAATTATTACCCCTGGAAAAGCTCTCCGCCATTCAACTAACAGCCGGGTTCCTGCTTACTGCTAGGTAAACAGAGGTGTGCGGAGTAAGCAAACTTGCCCAAAATTTCGCCCTGCCGGGAATTGAACCCAGGTCTCTCGCTTGCGAGGTGAGCGCTCTAACTACTGAGCTACAGGACTCCTTGTGCGGAGGATTAACACTGGCACGGAACGGTTGGGCGAATGTTTCCTTTTTGTACACTCTAATATTATTATGCTGCCTCCAGTGCAACTTGCTTCTGATGGTAACTAAGCCAGAAAAGGGATGAGTGGCTCAACATACCTCGGTTGATCCAGTAAACGCTATCTTGTCGACGTCCATATGAGAGGCGATGGCTGCTCCGGCTGTCGTGCCATATCCAGCCAAAATATTGACCACGCCCGGAGGAAACCCGGCCTGTTAAAGCAAACATGTTCAGTCTGTCAGAATAATCCGAGGAAGGGAACACAAACTCTGCCAAATTTTCCTGCTGATGTGAGTGGTAAAAGGCAAACTAAATATTTAGATAAAAGGCACACACACACCTCTTTGATGAGGGTCCCCATGTAGAGAGCAGTCAGTGGGGTTTGTTCCGCTGGTTTGATGATCACTGTGTTTCCACAGCACAGAGCTGGAACTACCTTCCACGCAAACATTAACAGAGGAAAGTTCCACTGCAGAGAGAAAAAGCAGACATTAATAATAATCTCTTTCATTTGATATAGCGCCTCATCACATCAATGAGATGTCTCAAAGCATATCGATTCAATTTTCCTTCCGTCCCATCAATGGATCCTGGACACCTAGTGATACCTGACCAAAATAACCATCCTTATTTCCCAACTACCCAGCTCTTGAAATACCCTAAGTGGTTTGCATTTTCTTCATCTATGTCTTGCTGGGGGTGGGGTGGGGAAGAATAATAATCCCCTATGAATTTCTGATGTTTTTCTTCAGAGGTTGATGTGTTTATTCCAATAATAACAAGACAATTGCAAATTCCCCCTTTTGAGTTGCGGACAGTTGCACATTCAAGAAAACTAACAGTTATTGCTGATGAATAATACTCACAGGGATGATTTGTCCACAAACTCCTATGGGTTCATGTCTTGTAAATGTGAAATAATCTCCATCTGAAATCAGAGGTCTGTTATTGCTCATTTTTCCTGTTTCATTTGGTCACACAAATAATCATTAAATACTTCTGGGCACATTAATAAAAATCCGTGGGAAGGAGAAACATGCAGACCAGCTTTTACTGTCAGCTCTAATATTGACAAATGAACGAACTTTAATAATATAACTTGACAAAGTATTTACAACTCTGTTCAATGAAAATCCGCGTTTCATCGTGAGCCAATTGTAAACTGAGGCTAGTCGATTTAAAATGTTCCGCTTAGGACAAATACTTTGTGGGCGCGATGGTTTCTGTCTGCTGGGGTGGGGGAGGAGGAGAGGAAAGGGAGGGGAGGGGAGGGAAAATATGAACTGTGAAGGGAAGGATGGTTAAATAGTAAAGATGTGGAATTGCTTGTTGAGCTTTGGGGTGCAGAAAACACCCACTGAGATCTTTCCCCTGAAGTGTCAATAATATAGTAATAATCTTTGCATGTCACGTAGCGCCTTATCACGTTGTTGAGATGTCTCAAAGTGCTTCACGGAATATAGTGTGAAGTATAGTGGTTGCTGCGTATCTTGTGGTGGAAAGAGGGAGTGGGATGGACTTCCTAGCATAGCAATGGCTTAGTCTGTGGAAGAGTGGGCTTGATGAGCCAAATAACCTTTTTGTGATCTATGTTTCTTCTAATGTTCTTAAGACTCTCAACTTCATAATGCAGTGCAATTGCATTCTTATTTTCATAGAATCGTAGAATATTACAGCACAGAAGGAGGCCATTCGGCCCATCGTGTCTGTGCCGGTTCTTTGGAAGAGCTACGCAACCAGTCCCATTCCCCCGCTCTCTTCTCATATCCTTGCAAATGTTTCCCTTTTCAAGTACCTGTCTAATTCCATTCTGAAAGTTGTTATTGAATGTGTTACCACCACCACCTTTTTAGGCAGTGCATTCCAGACCGTAACAACTCTTTGGGTAACAAAAGAAAATTCTATCTTTTCTTTTTTTCCCCCCCTGCAGCCCTTCCTACAGCCTCGTAATCCATGTTTTCTCTCTTCCATCTGGGAGTGTGGCAACAAGGTGAATTCTAACCCCCATTCCCAGCCTGTGACCTGGTCGCCAAGACTCTATATTAATGGGTTACCAGCAACAAGGGTCTGTTTTCCTTACGATAAGAAACAGCCATCCACTTGAGCAAGGGAGGACACTTGTTAATGTATGATTTATGCCAAATCCATTGACTTGTGGCTTGAACTTGCCATTGGAGAGGTGTGAAGAAAATGCGTGACCATTCGTTTTTTTAAAATAAACACAAATTGTGTGTGTGCAGTTTTGTGCCCAGATGTTTTTCCTCCTGCCAAACAGACATTTGGAATTATATATAGTTGGAAACGGCCTGACATCTGCAATAGAGACCAATTAAAGCTTAGGGAATATGTATCATATACTTAAGATTCATCCAAACTCCAATGAACCAGATTTTGTTTACCAGTTACACTGATGAACAGAGCTGCAGACTGAAATGCAATTTTCGGTGCCTCTCCTGCCTGGCCTGTGTCTGGGAGATATCAGCAGGAGTCTGTTTTAAGTGAAGGTTTGCACATTTGACACCAGCGTTAAGGTGGCTGAAAAAGCTCCTTCTGAGGCTCTGCATGATGCTCCACACTTTAATCTCTACAGCACCTGAACCTCTCCCTACAAGTGCTTGAAACTCACAAGCTCTTCTTGTGACTTGAGAGCCGACAACGCATCTAAGATAAAGGCAGCTCCAGCGGGTTAATACAAAACAAATCACCATCATGGGCCGCTCCCAGTTGAAGGACAGGCTTTGTCCCTGAGAAATTCTCGTACAGACAAATTGATTGCAAAAACAAGGGCCTTATGTTGGCGACCGCCATTTTACCTCAATCGGAATTAAGCAAATCACACCAAAGCGATCTCATGCAATGACAATGTTTCCCCAATGTCCAACTATTTTAGAATTTTTAGTTCCCCCCCACCACTCACCCACCCACCCACCCTACAGTCGTTCACCTAAAATTTCATAAGAAACGAGCAAGGAGGTCGAGCGATGCAAATTAGAAAAGATAGTGATGGAAAGATTCACCTTCAGATGCATTTGTATTATCAAAAGTGTAAAGAGATTTACGCCATCAATAAACACCAAATAGTGTGGACCTGCATTTACCACTATGATAGCATTAACATCGTTCTCCTGGTTCACTTCAGTTGATTTTTTTTAAAGGCAGTTTTAAATGTTGAGCGTCGATAACACTGTATCTTGGAAGAGTTGCTTAAGTCTCAGCAGTCAGAGTGAGTTGAAATAATACGTTTCAGCGATGATGCGTTTTGTGCAAACGATTGTACATGTTAAGATTAATTTCGCTCTCACATGCGCAGCAGCTCTTCCAAGGCCAGTTTCCCTGATGATGTCCTTAGTTCTCGCCATCCAAATATTATTTTATTTAAAAAAACACAAGACAAATAGACAGCGAATAAATTAAAGCAACGGTTAAGGTTCATCATCACTCTTCCGAGCCGTGTCACTTTATAAAAGGTGGTGTGACTCTTCCTTTAAACATTTCAATAAACAAAGCTCATTCTCACGCTCACAATGTCAAGCCTCAAGCAGGAAAGTGGCACAGTTGTGAGGACATAAATCACAGCCTCAAAAAGGACTGCTAAAACACTGACGGAACATCACCAATGAATTTCACTTTTGTAGAAGGAAAAGTCAGCAACGCTTTATAGCGCGGATTTAAATGTAAATCATTTTAGCAACAATGGACGTTTTTTTCCACTGAAATTAGACTGGAGTTTTAGATGCAATTCTGCTAAATTATTTGTAAGTTAATGAACAAACCACCAAACTAACTCGGATGACAGAGATTTGCATGTGAACAATAGGTCAGAGTTTTAACACGAGTTACTAAATGTGTTACACATCCATATTTATTTCATAGGAACATGGGAAATAGCCCTTCAAACCCGGTCCACCAGTTTATTGTAATAAAAATAATCCTTACATCGATAGAGTGCCTTATCACGTAGTTGAGAAGTCTCTAAGCGCTTCACAGAAAATACTTTAAAGTGAATTGACTGTATGTTTTGTGGACGAAACGCGGCAGCCAATTGCGCACAGCAGTGTCCCACAAACAGTTGTGGTATGAGTGACCAAATTTCTTATTTTTTTTAATTAAAGAATAAATATTATTAGACTTGGCCAGATCTTTTAATTCTAATGCTCCGCTTTTTGACCTTAATACCTCAACTACCCAAGCATCTGTCTTTTTCTCTTTTAAACAACCCTATTGATTCCGTCTCTCCAGCTTCCTGGGGTGGAGTGTTCTACATCTTCACATTCCTCTCTGTGGAGAAATGTGGCCTGGCCTGATTTCTAACTGTTACCGTAATCAAGAAGATAGTTTCACAATGACTGCAACTTTAGTCACTTTTTTAAAAATAATTCAGAGAACGTCTCTTTGTTCAAACACCCACTATTGCATAGTCTTTGAACGTTTGGACTCCTTTCAATTGGACACCAACCATTAAATGATTTATCATCATCTCAAAAAATGTGGAAAATTAGTCCTCGAGAAGTGCAACTTAGTCAATGCATGAAGCAGCTAAAGGTTGTCGGTTTGTATCCTCCAGCAAAGAGAATTGTTTAAATTTGAGTTTAATCACAGGGTGAGCTGCAGCATTCATTAGTGTTCATTTCAATCTTTTTGGTTAGAAACCTGCCATCCTCCAGTTTCAATGAAATGTCCTGGGCAGGTTGCTTTCCGTTGTCAACTCACCTACTGGAATTGTCTTGCCGTGGATCTTGTCAGTCCATCCTGCAAAATATCTCAGAGTTTTCAAGACTCCCTGCATATCAACGTAGTAGGCCTGGAGAAATGGCTTTCCACTATCCAGAGATTCAAGTGTCTGGAAAGAGCACAAAACAATTCATTAAAAGGAGAATCAACCAGGAGAATAAAAATGAGACCTCAGCATACTATTTAATAATAATAATCCTTGCATTGGATATAGCGCCTTATCACGTCGCTGAGTGCTTTTACAATATGCTATAAAATGTACTGTGGATTCTGTGGGTGAACTGCAGCAACCAATTGCTAATTTAAGCCAATTTTTACAAGCGAGATAGTGGAAAGAGCAGCCTGTTATTGAGGGTGAACAGAACATGACAGCTGTATGGTTTTGATGGGATGGAGGTTAAGGTTGTGGGTTTAAACCTTTGTGGATCTCCTGCTTAATAAACACATGTTGTGTTGAAAAATCATCTTACTGAGGGGAAGGGAGGTCTAACTGTGACTGGATTCACCGTGTGGAGAATCACCTGGCAAAGCCAGCGAAGCCCAGAGTAATCCAACAACATCTCCAACAGCAACAACTTGCATTTATATAGTTCCCTTCACGTGGAGTAGTGTCCCGGAGCGCTTAAATCCAACCCAAGGAAGACTTGGAGATTTAGACATGTCCTCAGTTATTAAGAGCCAAAGCCCTGACTGACTTCACCCTCTGAAAATCTGTCCAGTGCAGAATATGCCAGTGAGACAGGTTGATATTCAATCAGCATTTGTTTCTTAGGACATAGAACTTGAGTAACGTTAAAATAACCAACACTGTAAATGTTTAATTTAATTTCCTGCTGGTGAATTAATAATCATTTTCAACATCTGAACTGTCCCAATTAATGTCAGAATCTGCGAATTGAGAATACTACACATTAAATGAATTCACGTGACTCATTAAAAACGCTTAATACGGGTTTGTTACTCTTATTAACATTTCTACGTATCTTTGTAATTTTGCTGTGACTATTGCTCAAAAAGCCATAGAAAAGGCTGCCCCCTTGCCCAGTCCCTTCCGCACTTGACTGACGGACCCTATGTGGATAAATAGCTCAGAGGATCCTCACCGCCAGCTGTGCCCGGTCCCGTTCCACGAGATCGGCCAACCTGTCGAGGAGCCTGCCTCGCTCCGAGGCGTCCATCCGTCTCCAAACTGAGCCCGGAGAGAAGGCAAGTCGCCCTGCCCTCACTGCCTTGTCCACATCCGCCTGTTAAATGTAAGGCACCAACACCATAAAGGTGAATAAAGAGAACAGATCGAGAACCTCTGCGTATCATTTTTGACAGCTATTGAATTCTGTGCACTTAATTCAGGCAATAATTATTATAATAAGCCTTAATAATAATCCTTGCCTTTGATATAGCGCCTTATCACATCATTCAGACATCTCAAAGCACTTCCAGGAATATACTGTAAAGCAAATTGACTGTATATTTTGTGGGTGAAATGTGATAGCCAATTGAGCATAGCAGTGTCCCACAAGCAGATGTGGATTAAGTGACCAAATTATTATTATTTTTCTTTGGAAGGGATTATTACCCCCAGAAAGCAATCTGCCAATCGACTAACAACCTGGTTCCTACTTACTGCTAAGTAAACAGAGTTTAAATGTACCAACAGGGTAACTTAATAAGCTGATGAAAGCTAACAATTTAGAGCACTAGTTCTCTCCTCTCTACTGGGTTCACTCGTCAATTTTTACCTGATCAGCTTCTTGAATGTCGCAGAGTTTCTCTCCAGTGGACGGGTTGTAAGTTGGGAAGGTCTTGCCGCTGACTGAGTGGTGCCACTCATTATTAATAAAAAGCTGTGGAAACAGGAGAGCAAACATGAACAGATGCCCTGGAGGTTATGTGGCCTGAGTCTTTGGTCGGTTATCTCACACGGTCTTTAAAATGTGTGGGAGAGACAATCCAATCCCAATTTGTGCGAAGGTTTGATGTCCAGCGCTCTCTTTTGCATCATTGAATTAGTGCAATGTTTCATTTGACGCTTAAGAAATATAGTAAATGAAAGAATTGTCTTTATTATTATAGTTTGTGATTGATATAGTAGTTTCGATCCACCTGATAATTTTCCTGCTCAGCATATTTCCCTCTCAGATTCCTTTAGACCTCCGCGACATCAAATGTAAAGATCCTTATTATTTGTTAATTTTACAACATTAAATTACTCCAACTTTCCCTCTCAAGAAAAAAGTTGAAGTACAGCTGGTATAGATAGAGACTAATAGGGTTCATAGGGATATAAATTGTAGTATGTGTGAAATCTGATCCAAGTTAAAATCCATCCTAACATATTCATATTATTCAACACTAAATAAGAGACAATTTATTAATTCCAGAGCCTGTCTTTGTGAATTATTTTGTGCGGGTAATTTGTGTGCGATATAATAATAATAATAATAATAATCCTTGCATTTGATATAGCGCTTTTCACGTCGGGAGGACGTCCCAAAGCGCTTCACAGATCACACTGTAAAGTGAATTGACTGTATATTTGTGGGCGAACGCGGCAGCCAATTGCGCACAGCAATGTCCCACAAACAGTCGTAGATTGAAAATGACCAATTTGTTATTGTGTTTGGTTTTGGAGGGATTATTATTAGGCGTGTGGAGTAAGGAAACTTGCCCAAGGTTTTGCCCTGCAGACTATACTGTCAAGTGAATTGACTGTATATTTTGTGGACGAAATGCGGCAGCCAATTGCACACAGCAGTGTCCCACAGACAGTGGTGGATTGAAGGACTCAAGAGAGAGAAAGAGGCAGAGAGAGAAAGAATGGAGCAGAAGGAAAGCAAGAGAACAAGAATATGAAGCACTGAAAAACAGAAGAGAAAAGAAAGATAGGGCACCATCAGAGATAAAGTATAATGTCTCATAAAACAATCACATTTTTACCAGTCCCAACCTTGACATTTCTCATTCGACTTAACACCGGATAAGATCTTCTTTTTGTGGTGGGGGTGGGGGGGGTGGGGGAGGGTGTGAGTGGAGCCTTACTTGCTCTTAGTGCTTAATTGTATTTAATAACTTAACCTGACATTTCACAAAAAGGCTGTAACTGAGAAAGGTCAAAAACACCATAAGCTACAACAGACCGGCTGCCGTTTGCCAAAATCCAAGTAAAAAACCCTTAGCAGAGCAACCGCAATGAGTCCATTTAAAAGGCTGGAATGTGGTAAACTGATACTGGGTATACTTTTTACTTTTTACAGCTTATCGAAGTCAGTAAAATACTCTATTAAGTCTGCAAAAAGAACAGTATTTATAGAGCTCTCCCATTTCCCCGGAGATTTACGCAGAACAGTTTCTAAATATTTATATAACCAGAACGCTGATTTATCGAAGCGAACCAAGCAGGTACGTAAATTCAATTTGACGGTAAGATGGGAATTAGCTGCTTCCAAGGAGTTATAAAATAGGACCAACCCTTCTGGAACTGCTTCTTGGATGAATGAATGAATCGTTCCAGCTGGCACACATCTCACAGTTTTACAAGAAGAGCCTTAAACTTCCATAACTCACGGTTGACGGTTTAAGACATTTTGTATCAAGCGGTACCACTCTGGAGATATCTACACCAACAGCACCCAGCCACCTCCCTCCCTCCCCCACCTATTCCAATCGTCAAGGCCTAAAACTCTGCAATGCATTTATCATCAAAACAGCCTCCCCCAGTCTCTCTCTGTCTGGTTACAGATTCTCTGCACCCAACAGTGCGCTCACTCAGAGGCTTGAAAGGGCAGGTAAGAGGGCTGACACTGACTTTAAATCACTAAAGCCCCAGCCCTGAATTCCGGCCTAACACCGTCCTTGTTTCTTAACCTCGGTCTCTTAACCCTTCTTTACGTTTGATAGACAAGAAGGAAAAAGGAGAAAGTGTTCAAACCCTTCCTGACTTTTGCACGACAATCGCACTACACTGCACTGCTTGCGATCTGCCAAGTTCCTAAAACGCACGAGGGTAAAAGTTGCAGTTTTTCATTGACCCTTTGCTAATGTTAATTGACTGGAAGGAATCTTTGCAAGCTTTGCCGCCATAGTAATTACAGGTTTGTCTCGCTTATTTTGAGCATGCCTGGAACAGGCCCTTATGATGATGATAAGAATAATCCATTTAGTATGGCACCTTATCACATTGGAAGGACATCTCAAAGCACTTCACAGGATCTACTGTGAAGTGAAGTGAAGTGGAGTGACTGTGCATTTGTTGGCGAGCGTGGCAGCACGATTTCACACCGTGATGTCTCACAAGCAGCCATGAAACAAGTGACCAATTTTACTTGAGGAATTGTTGGCCAGGACACCAGGAGAAACTCTCTTCTTGAAATAGTGCCATGGGATTTTGAATGTCATTGCAAAACCCTCCATGAAATTCATATAAAGGCTGTTACAATTGGTTTTCCTATTTGTTCCCTTTCATTTTTCAATTGCTTTTAAGTTTTGCACACTGTGTGGCGGTCGCTGTTTTTCTTCCCTGGCAAAATCATCCAACCTAGTACTCAATGGCCTGTAATCATTGCTCTTCAGAGATCGGTGTGAAAACTGACAACTAAGTGAATGCGGATCATTAAGTAGAATTACCGGCTCCTAAAGTTTTGTGTTTGAAGCATTAAAGTCAATAAATAATATCCCGTCGTTTAAATCAATTCTGTTATACCCAGGGATAGATCCAGCAGAGAATTTCAGTTCCAGATGCCAGTTATTGTAGATTCTTATAAACTCCTGTGAATTAAGTCATAGTGTATGCTCCAGAGACTACATCAAAATAACCTCTGGTAGCCTTCATTCAATGTACTTTCAGATCTACTTTTAAGTGACTTAAGCATTCTTTTAATTGTATTGGGACTTTACATTGTTTATGGATTACAGACTGCAGAGAGCTTTTATGTCTTATGATACCATCTGCCCTTCTCAATTAAATACAGATTTACTGTTCAGTCACGACCCTCCATAATTCTATTCTGTGTTTTTTTTTCAATGTTCGCTGAAGGTAATTATTGAACGCTGCAATTTCATTAAAACTCTTTCTGCCAATTTGTGGTGGTGTCATCAGGTTCATGCGAAGGCCAAAATCTAATCGGCCATTCACTTCACAGTTGTTTGTGCACAAACTGGCTGTTACGTTTTGCCTACAATACAAAGACACTTTACAGTAAATCCCGCGAAGCACTTTGAGACATTTCAACAACGTGATAAGGCTCTTCATCAAATGCAATAACATTGTTGTTTAAGGTGTGGAATAGGAAGTGATTTGTCCGGGATGATTTCCTTTTACACAGCATGTTTCATTTAGGATTGTAAAAACTTTATGTGTATGAAAACCTTAGATGCATCACTTCCTTGAAACTGTATAAAGTTTCAGTTTCATAATGTTATTGATGGTGGACAGGTGGTGGACTGGGTTGGGTTACTGTCCTTACACCTTTGGAACATGACTAGCCTAGACTGATGAGACAAGAGTTTCCTTTTTCTCTTTCGTCTATAAAAAATAGCTGTAAGGGCTCTGAGTGAAATGACAGGACCACAATAATCTCAGTCTGCGTCCCAGTAGTAGAGAAAGCACAGCACAGACATTCACCAATTCAGCAGTAATGTACTATTTAATTGCCAATCTCAGAAAAACCATGAACATGTCTGAAGTTGTAGACACAATACATTAATACCACACAAGAGGAATATTATCATAGGAAGATACCATTGTCTGATTTAACTGAGACTAAAACTACTTTCTCTCGAGACTAAAAATGGGTCTATAAAAATAACTGTTTGTGGGACTGTGCTTAAAAGTTGATCTGAAGTTGGCATTTTACAGTAAGATTAATTTAGTTTGCATAGTTCATTGTGGTAGCAGCATAAACAACATTTATTTTTAAAAGAGTAGTTTAAATGGATCTATTGAATTACTATGTGAAAATCACGGATTATTTAAAAGTTTGATTCTCAAGGTGTGGGATATCAGATATAAAACCAGAAAACCTGAATACTATATAAAGTTCGTTTTTTGTATCTTCATTTGAATACAAACTTTACATTAAACTGTGACATAACAGATCCTGATTGCTCGCAACGTTCTAAATATTGTCACAAAACATATTTGATGAATTCAGAATAAAGCAAATTCACAGTAGTTTACATTCCAACCTCTATATTTTCTGTTGAATTCTCTCCTTTCGGGGCGGTTTTTAGGGCTATATGGGTGTTTATCTGACAAGCGCAATCAACATCACTTTGGTAGACCCACTGGCTGCTACATAACTCTTCCTTCCATCTAATATTCCATTGGACTAATCAGTTACAAATAAACGCAAAATCACCCAGTTAAATCGTGACATCCAGTAACAGCCAAGTCCACCATTTAATCTAAGATGCATTTGGCTGTGTATTCAGTGGCTAGATTTGACCAGAAATAACAAATCGTTTCTCAATAATCCATGTCCAATATGTTGCATTCCTTCAGGAGTGCAAACCTCCCCCATACCTTATGAGCAATCAGGTGTGAGTGAGTTATGGCAACCTTTTTCGTGCGTGAATGAACACTCAGAATGCCTTGTCTGAGGAGCAATGCTCAATTTATTTCATTGTTTAATTCTACAGGTATTAGCTTTTCAACACTTTCTAGAATTTGTCAAGCAAATCATATCACTAAATAGGAATCCACCATTTTAGTCCTGGTCAATGAACAAAAGATTTACACTCATTGGATAAACAATATTAATGGCCCATTTTACATTTCACACCAGCTTTTCCAGGAATTTAATGTTAAGTCCACAAATGTCAACAATTAATCACTGTACATATCAAC